TTTAAGATTTATTTCGCCTGCATACGTATACGTATAATAATAATAATAATAATAATAATAACTTTATTAACGGTATGACCAATTTATATATATACGCATACTATACTATAGTATACGTATATTATACGTATAGTATACTATAGTATACGTATACGTAGAATTTAGTACTCTATATATATATATAGTGACTAAATTGAAGGTTAATTTCAATTTTAACCTTGAATAACTTTCAACCAAGTTAACACCGAAAAATGACTTAAGACCTTTTTTGTAGAGCGTTCAATTCTAAACAAAAATATTTCAAAAAATTTTAAATGAGTCGGGTAGACTCACCAAAAAAAATAAAAAACACAAAAATTTCGTATAATTTGAACTTTGACCCTAAATTTCTTTGAGAAGATCAAATTTATCAAAAAATCATAGAAAACCTTTTTTGTAGAGCGTTCAATTATCTACAAAAATATGTCAAGAACTTTACAGTACGACCTATCGTTTGTTAGTTACAAAAATAAAAATAAACAAAAATAATTTTTCCTGTTATTCTCATGGAAAATCAAATTTAATTGAATCTTAATTTTGAAATTAAGAGCTCATTTTTTCACAGGCTAATTTTTATATCTATAGGAAACTTTTGAGCGTGGTTCCGAGAAAAAATACATAAAAAAGGTTTTTTTGAATCACCTGCATATTCCTAATGTTTTTGTAAATGAGCGTACAATTGCTGACTTAAAATTTCACATGTATTATGATTGAAATGTTTACAAAAATACTTTCTCATGAAAAAGCAAAAATTTGTCAGTATTTGTAAAAATTAAACAGGTAAAATCACACTATTTCAGGTGATAAAATTTAAAAGTTAGGTCCATTTCTCCTAAAAATTAAAATTTAGGTAAACTAAAATCAGGGTGCATCTTAAGTAATGATAAGCGTAGACAAATCACGGTGCTGTTCTGAGAGGTGATTTTTAGACTTTCTGTGAAACCTAATTTTTTTTAAATTCTTGTTAATTAGCTCATAACAAAAATTTTAAGAGCAAAATAAAAAAAATTTGACGGTTTGAATTGTTTTAATTGGCTGTTTATTAACAATTTTATGCACTCTTTCAATTATCAATATTTAATATTTGCATAACTAAAAAAAAAGGTTTTTACAATTTTTTTTATATATTTTACTGGTTTGTTGCAATAAACGTTCAAACTTTTAATCTAACCTTTGACGTATACACTGTAAAAAATAATTAACACAAGTCTACACGCCCCAACACCAAACTGTGTTATTCCAACGAAAAAAATCGTGTTAAATTTTAACACAGCATCAGTGTGTTGATTTGTTTTTTATATCGTGTAATAATTTACCCAAAGAATAATTAAACTTTAACACATTGTTTGTGTAATTTTTAGACAACTTTAGGTATTAAATTTAACAACAGATGGTGTTATTGTTTAATATTTTAGCGTATTAAAATTATACTAAATTGGGTAGATAAATAAAAATTACGTTTAAAAAAATACTTATGAAAAAAATATTTTATAATTTCAATTAGACAAAATAATATAATATAATATTTTTATAAAAAACAAATTATTAAAAACATTTAAAAAAGTAATAAAGGAAACAAGATCATTTTAATTGTTTAAAACTTACTTACCTAAAAAAGAAAAAATGTCATGTGTTACTGGAAAATTTGTTATTACCCACTATGTTTCCTAAAGGCAAAGTTTAAATTTCATATTACATATAAAGGGGTAAGAAGCAAAAGGGCAAATTTTACACGATATTTGTTAAAATTTACACAACTTTGTGTAACGTAACACGATATTTATTAAATATGAGTTTATAACACATTAACGTGTAAATTAACAAGTGGTTACACGTTTTAGTGTTGATTCCCAATTTAGGAACATTCGTGTAAAAGTACCTATTTACACGATTTTTACACAAAATTTACACAAAAATTTTAACACACAAAAAAAGAGAATTTACACACTGATATTTTTTGCAGTGTACATTTATGTTCCCTTAATTAATATATCCTTAAAGGTTGCCATGAAACTTAGATCTATTAAAAATATATTTGACGTTTGAATTGTCATTTTCAGTATACGTATTCTATAATTTTTGTTTACTTTTTTAATAATAATAATAGTGCTTTAATGCCCAACAGTAAAACCATTACAGGACATTCATATTCAAAATATAATAATAATAATAATAAAAATAAAAAACAGTTAAGGTATATACAAAAACTTTGGCTAAAATTAATTAAAAAATAGGTAAAAAATACAGTATATATATATACGGTATATACGGATTATGAGGAGCAACATTCAAGAACAGATTGTATAATGAAACTTAAAGTATTAAAATTAATACCACAGTTTACTGAAATCATGTTAAAATTTTGACACATATAGTAAATCGGTGATTTTTTTCCAATATTGGTATTAGCTCTATGATTCCTAAAGGTTATTTGATTTCTAGAGTTTTTACGAGGTATATTAAAATTTAACCTATCCAATAAGATTGTACAATCGACATTGGCATGGACAATATTGTACAAAAAAGTCACCGAGATAATAATTTTTCTTAAATCTAAAGAATTAACATTAAATATTGCTAAAAGCAGCGCATGATCAAACCCTTGGACAGGATAGTTTCCGTATATTTTAAAGTGAAGCAGCTTGAGAAATTTGCGCTGCACTGCAGAAACATGTTTCTAAGCCCATTTTATGTGCTTCATAAATCGGGCTCCAGATTAATGAGGCATATTCCAATTTAGACCTAACAAATGCAAAATAGAGTGTCTTAAAAGTTCTTTCATTTTTAAAAGTTCTCGTGTTTCGAATCAGAAAGCCTAAGGATCTAAATGAAGAGTTTATAGTTTTTTCTATATGTGCAGTAAAACTTAACCCTGGATCAAACTCCACACCTAAATCCTTAAAAGCCGAAACTCTTACCAATTTGCAATTGTCAATGCCATATTCAAAAGTAATAATATTTTTCTTTTTGGAAAATGTCATTGTTTTACATTTATCTGTATTTAGATGTAGACAGTTTTTTGTACACCAACGCGAAATACTTTCTAAATCATTTTGTAAATCATAACAATCCTTTGTCGAATTTATTTTACCAAAAATTTTTAAGTCGTCAGCAAACAAAAGGTTTTTAGATTTTATGCATTCAGGAAGATCATTTATAAATATAAGAAATAAAAGGGGCCCCAAGTTGGAGCCCTGCGGCACCCCTGATGTTGGAACAAAAAACTGTGAGCCAAACCCGTTATAAAAAACAAATTGACTTCTGTTAATTAAATAGGAACTAAAAACACTAACTAAATCATCACTAAACCCAAATGAAGCTAATTTTGTTAATAGAACATAATGATCTATCTGGTCAAAAGCCTTTCGAAAGTCAGTGTAGATCACGTCAAGTTGGCCATGACTATCTAATACATCACTTGCAAACTGAGTAAATACTGCCAAGTTTGTAACTGTTGAACGCTTTTCAACAAACCCATGTTGATTTATGGATATTATATTTTTAATTTTATAATAGATTTTTTTATATATTATTGACTCAAATAACTTGGAAAAATTACAAAGAATAGATATTGGCCTATAATTAGCAATATTTGACGGGTCTCCTGACTTTAAAACTGGAATAATCTTGGATATTTTCCATGTTTTGGGAAATTGCTTACTGGAAATTATGAGGTTAAATAAAAATACTAAAGGCTTTGCAAGTGCCATAGCACAGTCCTTAACCAAAAAGCTTGGTATATTGTCAATTCCAAAGTGTTTTTTATAAACAAAAATGAAAAATTGTAGTAAAAGTTATGAAGAAATTCATGAAATTTAACTAAGGACCGGTTTATTCATCTTTAGTAAAGTTTATCGGGCCGATAACTTTCATGTCTTGGCAATATCTAGTATCCAAAGAAATTATTTGTCAAATAAGTCAAAAATGAATAAATCGGCCCTAAATAAAATGTGGCACCCTTAGAATTATTGTTTAATAAATGTATACTATACATTTAACCTTAAATTAAAACTTTAAACGTGTATTACAAAAAAACAGTAAAAGATATAAAAAATGTATAGACCTTCTTTTAGGAAATTAACTAATCTTTAATCTGATTTAAAAAGTTATGATAATATTTAAATAAAATCGCAAGTTTTAATTGGAGAATTGAAAGTGTGCATACATATTTTTAATAAACATCCAATTAAAAGAAAATTAACCGTCAAATTTTTTTTATTTTGCTCTTAAAATTTTAGTTATGACCTAATTAACAAGAATAAAAAAAAAATTAGGTTTCACAGAAAGTCCAAAAATCACCTCTCAGAACAGCACCGTGAAATATAATTATAATTGTAACTAGAGATAGGATTTTAGTTTTAGGTATACAGGTATAGGGTGATTTTATTCGCAAATTTTATCTAAATCCGTATAATTTTTTTTTAAATCTACCTAATCTATCATCATTAACTTGCCAGCGAGAAAATAAAGAAACCCCATAAAATCGACATACACAAGCAAATGAACCGGTGCTCGTTCCACGCGAGAGAAAATTATGTCAGTGATATCACGTCGCAGTAATCCGCGGATGAAAAATTCAAATAAACCGAGAAATCCACCGTCGGATAATCCTCGCTCACAGAGGGGGGTGGCAAACTGCGCATGCTCGAACGTTCAGTAGCGGGGAGCGTTGTCTTATTTACATGCGGCCCGGCCACGCCCTTTCCACGGGGGCGGGGCATGCGTACAAAGGCCCGGAGTAAATTTCGGACCCCAGGGGTGGGGTTCAGACCCCGCGGGTGGGATTCGTCACCCCCTGTCGGCGTGTCACTGGCAATCCGCGAACAGTACGACAGTCGTGCCAAGAACTCCGAACGCGCAGCGTCGCACCGATCACCGGAGTTTGCCGGACTTTTACGCGAAGTCTGCACTGTCTAGTCAAATTTACCCCAAAGATATTTATGTGCTAACAAGTCAAGTTTAGTTTTTCCCGTGTGAGTTTTCCACAAAGGACTGTCAAAATGTTGGAGTTTTATCCGAATTTGAATTTGAATCCCGCTATGTTACCTGAACACAGTGCCCTAACAGGGCCGGACTGCAATGGAAGACCAGGTTAGTTTTCTTTAAATTAGATAACCTATATGTTATAGATAGCACTGTTTAGTTAAAAAAATATATAAACTCACTTTTTAAACTACAAGTCTTAGAAAACGTCGAAATTTTCTTAGTGATCTTTTTGATATTTTTATCATGCTAGATTTTACCGCACTTCACTCGCACAAGTGTAATCAATAAGATTTTAACACAGACTGTGGATTATAAAGTTATGTTCACCAAGGAGAGCGCTGGCCCTTTCCCCCTCTTTTTAAGGAAAATACCATTGCAAAACAATAGTAAATATAGCAATAAAATAGTTTTGTTATTGTTATTAACGTAAGCTATTAACAAAGATTTTCTAACTGAAGTAAAATTAATTTGAATTACAACGATAGTAATTAAAAAAAGAAGATAATATTTATTTTTGCCATGACAATATGATAACAACTATTACTTTGTTGGATGAACATTTTTTATATATTTTTATTATAGTAAATAAGAATGAATTAACAGTTAAAAAACTTTATTCTGTAAATAAAAATAATCTCATTACTTTGACAAATCGTAGGGGTCCCAATAAGGGACTGAAAATTTAATAAAAAAGGTGGTACATTTTTTTATACCCATGACAATTTTAAATTTAAGTTAAATAATATTATTTTATTAATCGCTTACAAAATTAGTTTCATCATCAGTGCATACATGTACATGTACATTTTTCTGAGTGTGGTTTTAGCAAAATTTCAACCCAAAACCAAATTTAGAACAAACCACCATTGTATTTTAATATTGAACAGACGTTTTAAATTTCTTTTTAAGCAAAAACACACAAAACAAACTTAAAAATTGACACTGACAGTACGGTTCACATTTCATTAGGTACGATGTGTGTTCAGAAAATATCGGGATTTTTTGTTTTTTGAAACAAATATTTATTTATTCGTCTACATTAATATTGTTGCCTTCAAAATAGTCCCCATTGGATATTATGCACATGTGCCAGATCTTCTTCCAATACTAGAAACACTTCTAAAACTCGATCTTTGGGATAGCCTTTAGTTCTTTCAGCGATGCGCATCTATGGTTGCAAAACGACGGCCCTTTGAGGTTCTCTTTATTTTTGGGAATAGGAAAAAGTCAGACAGAGGCATGTCTGGCGAATATAGAGGCAGGGGGAATCATTGCAGTATTGTTTTTGGCCAAGAATTTTGTTTAAAATTTAACAATTTGCCACGCGTTGCATACCCAAAACATTCGAAAAAATTTCATGGGATGAGCCAATCGATATACCAACATCAGCAGCGACTTCTCTGATGGTTTATAACCATTTCTTCCACTTTTTCCATGTTTTATCGGTTGTTAATGTGCTTGTGCGTTCGGGGCGTTCGTCATCTTCAACGTCTTCACGGCCATCTTGGAAACTCTTATACCACTTGTAAACTCTTGTTTTACTTATAGCAGACTCACTATAGGCCTTTGTTAACATTTCACAGAATTTATTTCATTTTTTAAGCAAAATTGGATACAAATTCTTTGATCCATTTCTTTTAACGAACGAAAAATCGCCGAGCTCATAAAACACGTCTAACCTTAGTGGCTGCCATAGACAAAGTAAACAATATAAACAGCTAAAGTTTTTATCATACTTCGGGGGCATGTATACCAACATAATGAAGAAAATTTTATGACAACCGGACCCTCCGAACCCGCGAAATTTAACAATTCCCGTTATTTCCTGAACACACCTCGTACATAAAAGTAAAACGAGGCTGCTTTTTTGATATTTTATCTACTCCTATTGTATAATTTTGGTTTTTTTTTCGTGAATATTGTAAAACATTATCCCATAAATCCCTGCCTAACAACTGAAGTAATGAACTTATTATTCACGGTGCAAGGAGATTTCAATATTCACTGTGAAAACCAATCGAGTTTTGAATTGAGAGAAGGCGACCATATAACTTTTAAAATTGGTAAAAATTGAGGTTAACCATTTGACAGATATCAGATTTTATTTATTTAATTTTGAAAATCACTTATAATAGCCTGCTTTATTTCTCGTATAATAATATACTATTGTGTAATAAAATACTATCTTATAGAACGAATGTCATAAAACGTCTATTGAGTTCTTTGTAATATTTTATCTATTTGCAAAAGTTTTGAGAATAATTCTCGAATGTCAACTTAACCTCAATTATCAACGCAAATAATACATTACATAGTTAAAGCATATAATATGTATTACTTTTTATTTCATATACACTGATTTAATAGAGCTTTTTTTAACTTCTAAAATTAAATGTTACAAAAATGGCGAATGCGCCGGGATTAATACCGCATTTTAGAATAATAATTATTATTATAATACTATTTTAAAATTATGTATTTTGAAAGCATTAAATAATTTTTTTTAACGCTAATTGACAATAAAACTTCTTCAAACTTTTTAAACCATTTAATTAATATACCAAATTCAACGTTTTTCTTCATACAGGGTGCACAAAAAAAAGAGGTTCTCAAAATATTTGACAAAAAATAAAAACTTGTCGAAAACAAAAATCTTTATAACTTCGTTATTCCTAGGAATTTTGAAAAAAGTAAGTTTCACACGTAAACATTAGGGTATAATCTAAATTATTTGTTTACCTACAGTTTAAAAACCATTTAAAAATTTTGTGGAAAATTGTAAGCTTTACAAAAAAGGTTTTCGCTTTTTTCGCTTCTTTCAGTGCTAAACTGGCCTTTTTTTACGTACTACAGTTTGACTAATTATACTCTCTTTAAAAATAATATTTTGGCAAAGATGAATAGCTTTTTGTTCATTTAAATGGTACTTGTCTCAAAGTAATCTAATGTTATAATAATTATATAAGTATAATTTAGTGATATTGCAATAATTAATAATTTTTTTCTACTCCCACCTTTAAAACGCCCTTAATAGTACATGTTTCCATGACACTAACCTTTTAAATACACATTGACAAGTTGTGGCTTTATGGCGCTTTAGTAACGGGCTGAAGTTAGCAACAGGTTTTTAGTCACGGGCTGAAGTTAGTTTTAAGTTAGTTGACAGTTGTCAAATGTCATACAATCGTTAAAATAAAGTGCCCTTCTTGAAAAATAATACTTAATGTGAAAATTATTTTATTATCTCAATACAAAAATACAAAAGTATTAAATAGTTTCTCAACGCTAATATTTGAAAAGTTTATATGAACATTGTACTGACCTTTTAATTTCGCCGGCAGTAAACTATAACTTAAATTCGGACACGGACTGCAAAGTGCTCATAAAACATTTTCTTTACTTTCACTGTGAAAAACTGTCAATTTTCAAGAAATACATTTCGATTTATAACCTTTATAATTGTGTTTATAAAATAAAAAAAATTGACATTTGACGGCGACACACACATTCCCCTATTGTTTCATAGATGGCGCTCTATACAAATTTTTGATTTAAATCATTTTAAGATAATAATAAGTATTTGTCGTAGAAAAAGTCTAGTTTGCACCTCGTTTATAAACGTTTCTATACACACAAAAATTAAACCACTCGCTCGCAAGCTCGCTCGTGCCTAAATTAAATTCGTGTATAAAATGGCGTTTATCAAACTTTATACATGATATACTATAATTGAAATCTTATTTGAGTTTTTAATTGAAAAATTATATGGATATTAAAAGAGAAAACATTTTCACTTAATTTAAGAACAATCCTTTATTTAATAAAATATATTTTTTACTCTTTGCTAAAATAAAAAATACTTAAAATGAATAGTTCAAAATTAACATTAAGCGAATACATACTTTAATGACTAATAAAGCATTGTTTTACTAAGTAAATTATTATTGGGTCAAATATAAAATTATAAGTATAGAACTTTTTTTGGATATAGAAATGTTTTTTTTCCATGTGTATTTTAAGTATATTTTAGATTTTTGCTTTTTAAAGAAATCCTATTTGGCAAAATATGACAAAGGCAGTCTAAATTAAACCTATTCCTATACTTTTAGATAAAATCTATATCGATAAAATTAATATTTATGTAGTACCTAACAAAAATTATACTTTTAACTCGATTTGTCCCCGCAAGAAAGCATGTGTGCACGGCACTCAAAACAAAATATATTACCGACTTATAAGTATTATATGTCATCTTGAAATAAAGCTCTTTACGGCTCAACCAACCATATTGACGTTCGGCTCGTTTAATGAAGGGGCGGAGAAGAATTTATGGGGCCGCGTTATTGGCTGCGAAACCCTAAAAAACTACTTAAAGAAAATATAAAACGGTCCACACAAGCTCTCGTAAAAATGCTTTGAAATTGTTATACTTTAACAACTGTATAAAATATCAAATAATGTTTTTGATTATTGTACCTACATATACAGTGTGACCCATTTGTTTGCGACTCACAAATGTACATGCACTTATAATGAAACTAATTTTGTAAGCGGTTAATAAAATAATATTATTTAACTTAAATTTAAAATTTTAATGGCTATAAAAAATGTACCTTTTTTATTAAATTTTCAGTGTTTTATTGGGACAAAAACCTACGATTTGTCAAAGTAATGAGAATATTTTTATTTACAGAATAAACTTTCTTTACTGTTAATAAAATTCTCATTTACTATAATGAAGCAGCAATGTTGAGCTTTTATTAAAAAAAATTTCATCCAACAAAGTAATAGTTGTTATCATATTGTCATGGCATTAAGAAATACTATATGTTTTTGTTAAATCTATAGTTATGTGTGAATTGCGCTTACATAAAGTAATGCGCAGTTGTTATGGTAAAATTTGTTCATTTTACTATGGCATATTTGTCTTTTTTAAATTAATATCGTTGTAATTCAAATTAATATTATTTCAGTTAGAAAATCTTTGTTAATAGCTTACGTTAAGAATAACAAAAATAGTTTATTGCTATAAAAAGACTTTTTTAATATTTACTATTGTTTTGCAATGGTAACAAAATTTTTGATATTTTCCTTAAAAAGAGGGGGAAAGGGCCAGCGCTCTCCTTGGTGAACATAACTTTATAATCCACAGTCTGTGTTATAATCTTATTGATTTCACTTGTGCGAGTGAAGTGTGGTAAAATCTAAACTGATAAAAATATCAAAAAGATCACTAAGAAAATTAAAATTTCGACGTTTTCTAAAAGAAATATTCTATAAACGAAGCAGACTTGTTTTTTAAAAAGTGATTTCAATTTTTTTTATTTTGTAGGTACATCATATAATTTGAGTTAATTTGTTTGTTATAATAAATAATTTGTTTTAATGCCTTGCAATTATTTAAAAAAACACCCAACAGTAGGTTGAAAATGCGACCATTGTGGCAATGAAAATATTTTATTGAATTAACAATTAATGTGTTGTTAAATTAACATAAATTTTATTAATATTATAAAAAAAGTTTTATTTTAAACGAAACAATATTTCTATGAATAATACCATTAGGGTTTCATTGATACTACAAAACGTTTTTGTAAACGGTAATATCTTGAAATCAAACATATTGGATTAGCAAATACTAGAAATACTAAATGAATGGTAGCATCTAAAAGTAAAAAAACATAGGTACCTCTAAGTAAGTAATTTATATGAACTTTATCCAAAATCCATTTACTAATATTACAACTGTTATTAAGTCGATTTCATTAAATACACCTGCTATCTAAATGTTAGGATCATACGATTGGAATGTTTAAGCCAACAGTCGAATAATATGCAAATATTACTGGAAGTAGGTTTATCTAATATTGTTTCCATGTTAGGTACAATTACCACCTACATATTAAATTTTAAATACAAAAAAATCATATCTTCTAAACGGTTTTGGCTAACATTTTTATAGACTGAATGCAGTTTAAACTGTCTTTTTAATAAAAAAATTATCACAATGAATTTGAAATTGTTGTTAATTTAAATGGAAGTTGCCAATCAATAAATACAATGAAAATGTTTATTTCATCAATAAATGGTGTTATTAATTTTGAGCCGATGAACAGTTCATCAATATAATGAAAAGTCATACATTTAAAGTATTAATCAAATTTCATAATATTGAACGCTGTTAATTGAATTTAAAAAATTAAGATTTAAGATTTTAGAATCTTATCTTGCTTTCCCAAAATAAAATGTTAAATATGAACAATTGTATACCTAAATAAAGCACACTATTGGGTTATTTCAAAATTCTTGTACATTTAAAGAAGAAAAAGTAAAAACAAAAACTTATTTTTTCCAAATTTTGTTTATTTAGGGGTGTTATTTAACACGTAAAAGTGGGCAGTTGAATTTTAATACATAAGCCTTTTAAAAAGGAAAAAGAAAAAAATGGTCCCCTGGGTCACAAATTTACTACTTTTTTGAAGTAAAAGCAAAAACTATGTTCTATTTCTCAACTTTAATACATGAGTATTATATATATATATATATTTTCTGTATTTAGAAAATGTCCATTAAAAAGAAATTTTCTTTTAATGCGTATTAAAAACGTTTTTTCTCGATTTAACTATTTAATATTTTTGTATTTTTGTATTGAGATAATAAAATAATTTTCACATTTAGTATTATTTTACAAGAAAGGAACTTTATTTTAACGATTGTATGACATTTGACAACTCGTCACCTGAGAATTATAGTGTTCTATCTGCATTTTCTTTTTTTTATTCAGGTTAGTCTTGTTTTAAGTATTAAACTGTCAACTAACTTAAAACTAACTTCAGCCCGTGACTAAAGCGCCGTAAAGCCACAACTTGTCAATGTGTATTTAAAAGGTCACTTAGTGTCATGGAAACATGTACGATAAAGGGCGTTTTAAAGGTGGGAGTAGAAAAACATTGTTTCGTTGAACTACCAAAAATTTTTTTCCAGCTTCTTTGAGGCAAAATACATTGACTAGGAAAATTACTATTAAAAAGGTGGAGGACATTATTTTAAATTGGCTACGTACTATTATAAACAGAAAAGGTGGAAGGTTGAAAAGAATTTTTTTTAAACTTTTATATAAGTTTATTATTATTTTAAAAATATAATATAATTTATTTTTTTGGAATTGTCCCCTGGGTCACACAATATTATTAAAGTAGAGGGACATCAAATGAACAAGAAATTTGAAAATATCCCAATTATGATGATTATTTCGATGTAAATTTCATAAGAAATTTTGCAGAATTAAATAAAATTCATGTTTTTTAAATTTTAAGCGCTTTAAATTGATGCAAATTCATTCGGAACAAATTGCCTTTTTCCATCGTATTATAATTTATACACCGATATAAAATGTCGGGCTAATGCTTTTCCATTATCTCTGGGTTTACTTTCCCGGCTCGTCGAGATTTTCATTTGGGGCCCCCAGCTCCAGGAGTGCCACCTTAATGTCGGTTTCTTGGAAACAAATGCATCGCGCCCACTCGTAAATATTGGCTGAACTAAAAGCCGCAGGAAACGAACTAATGACTGATCCTGGTTCCTTTAAATTTAACCGGTAGACAGGCAACGAAGTGGCCATGCGCAAATAACGCCGAAAAGCCTTTTCTGGCTATTATACGTTTCCACGCGTTTTTGCTTAAATAAGTGGATTATTTTTGCATACGATTTAGATGCTAGCAAGTCAAAATTTTGTTTTGAAGAAAAAAAATAAAATCCCCTTAATAACACTAGTTTACAGCCATTTTGCCCACCATGTCTCACTATAATTTTCTTGTCTTGTGTTTTGACGTTATATAGTATACTACTTCGAGTTCTAATTGATCGATTTGACCAAACAAGCACTTCAATCAAAGGTAATTGAGCCTTCTATAACTTTCTCTTAGATAGTTTTGGTATCGGCTCAGTAGTTCGATACTGGCGATTTTATGAAGTTGAAAAAGTCCTTTGTTTTACAAAAATCGAGGTCGAAAATTTACATATCTTTCTGGGAAAGATAGAAGTCCAGTTTGATTTATTTTACGTATAAATTATACTTAAAGGAAAAAAAATAAGCAGCTGTTGATAAAAACCATGGGTAAATGGAGAAGTTATGAATTTTTCAGTGGAAGACCAAAATTCAGTTTTTCGAGAATTTTTACGTTTTTTCTTCATTTTATTGAATTATATAAAATTTAATATTGAACATGAAAGTTTTATTTTGGAAGAATAAGTTTTCGGTTTTAAAAAAATTCTGGCTCCTTTGTTTTTTGGTTGCTTTCGTATTCCGTTTCTCGTATGAGGGACCAAAATTTAATGTAATCACCCATCATGGCTGCACCTCAGAAGCCGTGATACCGCCGCTCCATAGCCTTCATTTGCTGGTGAAAACGTTCTCCGTGCTCATCACTAACGTCGCCCAGATTGTCCGGGTTATTTACGCACTCGAACTCTCTACTTCTTTTACTCATTTTACACTTTTTATTTATTAAATAAAACCATGATACAAATACCTTGTTGAAATATCAAAAAATAGCAGTAAAATGTCACTTTGCCAACACGAGAAACAAAAGAATTGACGTTTGCGGAGTCAAGTCAAATTTAAATTTTGAATAATGTTTTCGGTGAAAAAAAGTACGAAAAAAACTCAAAAAATTCTAATCATGCACTTTAAATAGGTTTTCATTAAAGAATAAACAAATTACAAAATAAAAGAAAAAAATAAAATAAAAATCGTCACAAAGCTGAATTTTGGTCTTCCACTAAAAAATTCATAACTTCGCCATTTTTCCATGTATTTTTATCAACATTAGCTTATTTTTCACGAAAAAAAAATTCAAACTGGAGTTATCCGTTTGATTTACCTTTCCCAGGACGATACGGAAATTTTCGACCTCAATTTTTGCCTTAAAAACGAATTTTTGTAAGTTATTAAAATCGCTAGCGTCAAAATACTTATTCGATATCAAAAGTATGTAAAAGAAAGTTTTAGAGGGCTCAAATACCTTCAATTTAAGGGCTTGTTTGACCAAATCGATCAATTAGATATCAAGCTTTACTTACAAACGTCAAAACCCCTCCGAAAATTGAAAAAAAAACAATTTAAAATTCATATTTCAAAAACGCTTCCATAAAAAAAAATTGAGTGTGAATTTCGTGTTTAGTGGGTCAAAATGCATTGGAAATGGGATATGGTGGGCAGAATTTTTTTTCGAATTTGTAAACTAGTGTAATAATTGCATATCCCTGGACCACATAAGATAAGCATTTAAGTGTTTTTTTTTCTAAAACTAAGCAAAATACGAAAAAAAATCAAAAGACCAAAAGTTGTAATTTTAGTTGCTTAATCCGAAAAAAAGGTTTATCAAAGTTTTTACACCCATGTTTATATGAACTTTTTGTCTTAAAATCACCTAAGGAATCTTCTGTTCAATTTATTGTACATACTTGTGTAACACCCTGTATGTTAAACGATAAATGAAACTTACTTACAATAATAATAACAATTAATAAAAGTATAAAGTAAGGTTAGATACTTCAGAACTGTCAATAGTTAACGAATTTTTGTATAGGTCCTAACAGGATTTTTACAGACTAGTATGTAAAAAAATTTCACCTGATTTGTCTAAATTGTTTTTACAGTCTAATCTAATCTAATCGAATAGGTACTTTGGTAGTGAGCGTTGACAATAATAAAGCTTTTTTTTTGTTTTAGATGGCAGCCTAATAAAATGTGAAAAAACATATGATGGATGTGAGTATACATTATTTTTTTCTTAATAATTAAAAAATGAAATAGTAAAATTTAGAGCAATGGTACGCCACTGCAATTTTCTTTTTTTAGTTTTTTAAAAATTTGTTACATTAAAAGAAACTTGTACTAGTTTTACTCAAATTTAGTACGATTACATTCTACACCATTAGCTACAGCTGAAGGAAAATTTTTCATTGTATAATATTTTATAAAATCGTAGCCAATTTTGAAATGAAAAGATTAAGTAAAAAAGTAATCGTAGTAAAATTGAGTAAAACCAGTACCAGATTCGTTTAATGTAATACAAAAAATTGAATGCATCGGAATGTCTTATCAATTATTTTCACTTATCTATTTTCAATATTTTTTTGTATCACTTTGAATAAAATCGAAGAACGAATTTGACAACAATTTTTTGCAGTTTAAAACATCTTAAAAACCAAAAATAATTTTATTTAATTTTCTACAATTTTAAAGAAAACGAAAATTTACAAAATATTTTTTTAATTTCCTATAATTTTTACAAAAAAACCTTTTTCCAAGTTTAACTTTCTCTACTTAAAATTAATAGTTACTTTTAAAATTATTTAAAAAAATTCCTAATGATATAATTTAAATTAGGCATTTTGATTTTCCAAATTATCCATTTCTTCAGTAACTATCATCACGCGTTATACTAATTTTATGTAAAAAAAATACTATTTTTATTGACACAAACCCCTAAGCAAAAGACTAAAAAACCAGCGTCATTTTTTTCCCTCCTCCATAAAACATGCCCCTCCCGCAAAAAGCAGAGACGTCACATGTGCGTGCAATTTGTTGCAGATGGCGGCGGAATCGGCTTGGGCATCCTGGGCGGCCACGTCGGCGTCGGCATGATAAAATGCGAAAAAACGTACGAGATGTGCGAGGGGTGCGGCCAGAAGATCCACGACCGCTACCTGATGCGGGTGGCTGATAGTAGCTGGCACGAGCACTGCCTCACCTGCTGCATCTGCGGGCTGCAGCTCAACCATTCCTGCTACACCAGGAACACCAAACTGTACTGCAAGGCTGATTACGATAGGTACGTAAACAAGATATTTTTTATCGAAAATCAATACTTAAGTGAAATAATACAAAAAAAAGTATAATAATAATAATAATTAATAATAATAATAATTTATTGTCATCAAACAAGTACATGTCATGACATGTCAAAAATATAGTACACAAATATAGAATTACAAATAAATATAGAGATAGATACAGATACTTATAGAGATAAATACAATTTTAAAATATTATATTACAATAATTGGTTAAAATATGTAGATCGCATGTTCTGCAGAAATTTAGATATATATTAAATACTACTTGCTAGGATGTCCCAGTCTAGGAACTCTTCATAGCTATAAAAAGCTTTGGCGACTAATAGATATACTCTTGATTTTTTGAAACATTTGAAAGTTGTAGTTTGTTAAAAAAATTGACTCCCCAATAATCAACATATTTTTGTGTTTTGTTTAATCTATGATATGGTATTATTAGATCTTCATTAAACCTCGTATCTTTTCCATGTCTCGTACTGCCTTTTGTGAACTGGTTTAGGTTTTCATGTACATGATGTAAACATTGTTGAATATAGGTGGATTTAATAGTGAGTATACCTTCTTTTATAAAATATTCTTTGCAGCTTTCAGTTTTTTTAGGCCACATAGTGCTCTTAATGCCTTTTTTTGTTGAAGGAATATGTCATTTGCCATTGTAGTTCCTCCCCAAACTAAAATTCCGTAGGTAGCCACTGAATGGAAATAAGAAAAATATACCATTTTTGCTATTTCGAAGGCGGATATTTTCTTCATTCTTCTTATGCAGTATATTGAGGTCGAAAGTTTCTTTATGGATTCCGATACATTAAAGTCCCACGATAAATTGGTTTCTGTGTGAATACCAAGAAATTTGGCTTTTTGATTGCTTTGGTTGGTACCAAAAGTTATTATTTGAGTTTTTTCCTCGTTGATTTTGAGTTTATTTGCATATAAACACTGTTTTGATTGTTCAAGAGCCATGTTCATTTTCTCATCTGCTTCTTGTTTTGTCGTATCCTTAACCAGGAAGGAAGTATCATCAGCATAGCAGCAAATTTCATATGTATCCACATTCCAGGCCAGGTCATTTAAATAAATTATAAACGAAGGATGGGCAGTGGTTTTATGCACACAGAAAAATAAAATTTCATTTCAAGAAGAATTATTGTTTTCAAAATGTTTACTTCATTCAAAACACAATAAGTTCCTATTAAGACTATGCTTTTACTTGGAGAAAAACGCTAAGATTACTGGGAAAATGTTATTTCTTTAAATTATTTTTTTAACTGGAACATAACGGTTTCATTTGGAATAATTTTTAACAACTTAACATAAGGATAAGAAAATGTTTGAATGAAAAGAAAACTTATTCTTGAACTGATTCAACGATTTTTTCTGGCGAAAATTTTCAACGACAAAATGTATTTGTTCAGATAGAATATAATTTTTATTTTGAATAGTTATATGGTTTCTTTAAAAATTCTCAATTTTTAAATCAAGAAAATATATTTGATTCAAGAGTATGTTTGTTTTAAATAAACCCACGCATGCGCTAAGGTACCATCCCCTTCGTCTTGACTGGTGAAATTGTTGTATATTTTGTTGTCGTTTGTTTAATTGAAGATAACTTGGGTCTTCATTCAGTGTTAGGTTACCAAAAATATTTTTCTGCAATTTTTTTGCAGGTTTTGCACTCTAAACAAGATAGAAAGTTTCTATTAACACGAAACAAACAAACAAGTTACAGAAAAAATATCCCTGTGAAGGGAGAAAGAACAGTATTATAATCATTTGAAGAACAACAGCTTTATATTTTCACTGTAAAAATTAAAATGAATTTCATATGAACCGATAGGGTTTATTTTAAGAATATCATGGTTTTACTTTAACTTTTCAAATTAAAAATACGATTTTTTAGTACAAAAATATGTCGATAGTTTTTTGAAAAATATTCTGCTTATTTTAAGAAAACATAGTCTTAAATCAAAGTTGTAATAGCTACAGAATAAGAATTAAATATTAAAAATATTCTTGTATCAAATAAATTTATTTGATTCAAACAATCTTTGTCTCTTATTTAACGAAGAGAATATATTCTTTAAAATAGTAAAATATTTTTTTAATTCACATTGATTTACTTCAACAATCTTTTCTTAATGTAAGAAAATTAAATTTCTTAAATAAAACTTTGATTGTTTAAAAGCAAGAATATAGTATATTAAAGTACAAGTTGCAGAAGGCCACATATTCTCGCACGAATTCGAAATTTGGCCTCGAGCGACGAAGGAGCGAGTGGACGAACGAATGAGTGCCAGAATAGCCTTCTGCAACGTGTGATTTATACTATTTTCTCGATTTTAACTTTTATTTAGGTTTTTTTAATTGTTTTGTGGTCGTTGTTAGTTAGGGGATTTTTCTCGCAAAATGGCAGTTGGCAACACAAAATGACAATATTTGTTATCCTGCACAAGTACAACCTGAACTGCACTTTTTTACATTAAACTTAAAATTTTGCATTAAAATGCATTGTTGGAGCAAACTTAATATTACAAAACAATAATAAAGGCTTCATTTTCAATAAAAGTAATGAATTTGAGGTTATTAATCAGTTTGACATTTTGGGGGTACCAATACTTAAAAACTAAATGTTACCAAAAATCGTTTAAGAATGAGCTTCATTCTTCAACGATTTTGCGTGCGAGAATATGACATTCTTACATAAAAATCGAGAAAATAATTTTTGAAATAAGGCAGCCATATTTACTTAATTCAAGAAAATGTATTTTTTTAACCAAATAATTGGTTGTTTTAAAGCAAGAATATGTTCTTTTAAAAATAAATATTAGTGGTATTCTTAAATAAAAAGATACTTACTTGATTCAAGAATAAATTTTCTTAAAACAAAAACATGTGACATTGAAATAAGTCAAATTGACTTAGTCAATAATTTTCTTAAATCAAATTGTTTAATAGATACAAGATTAAAGTTTTATTTCATTGATTACAAAATAATATTTATTTTAAAACAATTCAATTAGTATCGTTAAAAATAAAATGTATCTATCTTAATTTTAAGCTACTTTTAGCAATGTTTAAAAAAATCTATCATTTTGTATTTAAAATCAATAAAATTTTAAATAATGATACGTCTATTAACTAAAAATTATTTATTTTAATAATTAAAACATCTTTATATTTAGGAATATTACTGCAAATTTAAAATAAAAATACGTCTAAACACTTGAAGTAATTTTAAATATCCTGTAATTTTTTTAGGATTGTTGTCTAATCTTAAACAAAACTTTATATTTAAATACTTACGGATTATTCAAAATTGAGCCAAACTTACTGAAGGGCCAAAGTATACGTTGTATCGTTTCTAGGTGGTGCAGTAAGCAAAAAAAATTAGGTTAGAAAATAAAAAAACAAACGTTGAACAAACACATTTATATTGTTTTTAATACAAGAAAAATCTAAAATGTATACATTATTATAAATTAACCTAGGGAACTTAATCATTATTATCGACATATTTTTCATTTTAAATAATTTGTAATATTTTAGGCATAGTGGAAAAGCAATTACCAATTTTATAAAATAATTTAGGGCTATTGCCAATGAACTCCACCCTATATGAATCAAAATTAATGTTATACCCCAAAGTGTGTGACAAAATCTTTTTAAATGTCATAAAATAAATTAAGTTTATTAACTTAAAATTATAGAGCCATACAAATCAGAGTGATAAACACGTAAGATATTTTGGTTATCACTGCAAAGCCTTCTTATTTATGAATAAAATAATTTTAAGGCATCCTTAATGCATATTAGTATATATTTAAACAATAAACCTACCAACTACACGTAAATGCGACGCTAAATTTAAAAAAAGGGTGGGATATCAATAACAACTTACTTACCTTCAATTTTTTTCATAATTTTTTTCGATGCTGACCACTCTTCTAATAATTTTTTAATGAAATACGTCCTCTCCCTCACAAAGAGAAAGAAACACTGCATGATAAGGCATAAAATTTCAGAGGAACGTGTCGGCATCTCCACTCCTACACGATTTCAAGAATATGTATTCTTGGCAAAAGAAAATACTGTTCATTAAAATGAATAAAAAAGTTTAAGAATATCTAATTCTTAATATAAAAAAATTAAACAAATAGAAAAAATGAGAATATCTTATTTTTGATATAAAAAAATATTAACAATTGTACCAAGAAACCAACTAAGATTTCCTAAGATTGAAAAATGGAACTTTTTAAAACAAGAAATGTTTCTTAATATTAGAATATTTCCAAAACTACAAGTTGACTTGAATTAAAAAATATTTTCAAGATGATAGGTGTTCTAAATATAAGAAATCTTTATTTTCAGTGTATATTCCGATTAACATGATAAAGGCATAGAATCCAAAACATTTTATTCGAAAAATGTAGCAAAAAGCATCAATTTAGTATTTTTCTTTTGTCGAGCTCGGTGAATTTATGTTCTTTATTGGGGCGCCGCGACGCCAGCCAGCGTCGTCTTAAATATTCGGCAGGCGGGCGCGCTTTCATGCAGCCGCGATATGAGTTTTTAAAAGGCGACGGAGCGGATCCAATAAAAACCCCTAATGCTCATTCATGGGGCTTTGTTGCCGAATCCTCGCCTTTGCCGGCACAACGATCTTTTTCTTTACGTGCTTTTCCTTTTTTACTTTTTTCCATGGCTGGAGCTTATCTTGCTGGGAATTTTTAAGCTGAAAAGGTAGCAGAAATATGTAAGGATTCATAATAAATAATTTTTTCTACTACCTTACTAGAAAACTTAATTTTTCACCCCCGAGCGAGGGAGGAAAATGCCTCTTTTCCTCCCCGGGAGGAAAAAAAATTTCCTCCCTCTTTTTTTTTAACAATTTTACATTAGCAAGAGTTTTTGTACCTTGTCTAGCCCTATTTGATTTTGTAGGAAAAATATTTACTCCGCGCTTGTCCAATCATTCTTT